CTTTTGTTGCTTGATTTAAAAAAAAAAACACCTTAGAAAAAGTTCGAGTTTTTGACGAAAAGCATGGACCTACCCTTTTTGGAAGATTTTGATTTTTTGGTCTTTTTTTAAAAGTCTTCTTTAATTTCAAGTGTAAAAACCATTATTTTCTATTTGAAATATCCGAAAACGATCTTTTGTTGCTTGATTTAAAAAAAAAAACCACCAGAAAAAAAAGTTCGAGTTTTTGACGAAAAGCATGGACTAACCCCTTTGGAAAATTTTGATTTTTTGGTCTTTTTTTAAAAGTCTCCTTTTTAATTGTAAAAACCATTCTTTTCTATTTGGAATATCCGAAAACGATCTTTCGTTTCTTGGTTTAAAAAAAACACCTGATAAAAAGTTCGAATTTTTGACGAAAAGCATAGACTAACCCGTTTGCAAAAATTCGATGTTTTGGTCTTCTATAAAGGTCCTCTTTTCTGGTCTAAAAACCAATCATTTTAGAATATTAAAAAACAATTTTTTCTGGCTGGATGTGCCCAAAGATACATTTGAGGAAAAGTTTGATTTTTTGCAAAAAGCATGGAGTAACCCTTTTGGAAAATTTTTTTTTTTTTGGTCTTTTTTTAAAAGTCTTCTTTTTAAGTGTAAAAACCATTCTTTCCTATTTAGAATATCAAAAAACGATCTTTTTGGCTTTTTTGCCCATTAACTACGCATTAGAAAAAGTTTATTTTGTTTGAGAGAAAGCATGGACAAACCCCTTTGCAAAATTTCGACGTTTTAGACTTTTTTGGTGTTGAGAGCTTTCTTTTTTATCCAGAATATCAAAAATCGATCTTCTCTCTCTTGATTTTCCCAAAAACTCAAGTGACAAAAAATGTGATTTTTTGCAAAAAGCATGGAGTAAACCCTTTGGAAATAACAATTTTTCTGGATTTTTGGAAATTTCATTTTGTCAGTCCAAAGAGCATTTTTTTCTATTAAGAACGTCTAGCTAAAATAAGCTTGGAATTATTGTTTCTTTTTTAATATTTTAGATAGTAAGGTCTCTTTTCTAAGTACAAAAGTTTTTTTGTTTTAAAATAGGGGTGAAATTTGAAATTTTGTCCTTTTTTTGTTAAAATTTGTAAATTTTTGTAGTTTGGTTTTGAAGAATACCAGCTTCGAAGTAATTTTTCTGATATTCTAGATAGAAAGAAAGACTTGAGAAAGTGAAGGCTTAAAATGGTCGCGAAATTCAACATTTTTGCTCAGGGTTTAGTTCATGATTCTGTTTAAAATTTTGAAAAATTTCTATTGTTTTTTTTTGGCAAATAAGATTGGAATTATTGTTTTGATATTTTAGATCGATAGGAAACTTCTTTAGACAATGAAATTGTTTTTTGAATAATATTGGAAAAGTTTACTTCTTTTAGGTTTAGTTAGTCCTTGATGATTTTGGTTCAAAAGTTTAAAAATTTCTTTGTCTCATTTTTGGCCAAACCAAGTTGGGAATTATTGGTGTTTAATATTTTAGATAGAAGGGAAGCTTTTTTAGACTATTAATTGTTTTTAAAGATAGGGGAAAAATTGCTCTTTTTGCAAAAGTTTTAGTCCATGGCTTTGGTCAAAAATTTAAGACATTTACATTCTTTGTTTGGTAAAATAACCTTAGATATTTTAAAGAGAAAGGAAACTTTTGTACACTATTAGAATGTTGTTGCAAATAGTGGAAAGATTCGTTTTTTCCTAAAGGGATAAGTCCAAAAGAAATATTTAAGACATATATATTGACTGTTGATATTGTACATAGAAAATAAGGATCTCCAGACCTAGAAACAATGTAATTTTAAAAAAGTTGTAAAATTCGATGTTTTCGAAAATGCTTAGTGCAAGACTTACGTCAAAACTTTGAAAAATTTTCATTCTTTGTTTAAGGGGAAAATTAACTTGAAAATATTGGTTTTGTGATATTTTAGATAGAAAGAAAGCTTTTTTAGACAATAGTGGAAAAATTAGATTATTTCTAAAGGGGCTAGTCCATGATTTTGGTATGAAATTTGAAAAATTTCCGCTCGTTGTTTTTGGAAAATTTAGTTTAGTTTTATTTTTTTATATTTTAGATGAAAACGAGGTTTTTCTAAACTATAAAAATGTTGTTTTAAATAGTCGAGGAACTTTCTTTTTTTTCTAAAGAGTTGTGTCCAAGATTTTGTCAAAAATATAAATCTTCTCACTAGTTTGTTTTTAGGCAAAATATGGCTAGATATATTGTATGTTTATATTGTAGATAGAAATGAAGCTCTCTGGACCTAAAAAATGCAATTTCAAAAAAGTCTTTAATTTTATTTCCAAAATAGTGGAAAAATTTGATTTTTTGCAAAGGGGTTAGTCCATGAATTTGGTCAGAAATTTAAAAATTTTTCATACATTATTGTCGGGCAAAATAAGCTTGGAATTATTGATTTTTGATATTTTAGACAGAAAGGAAGTGGGAAAATGTTGTTTGAAAATAGTCAAAAAATGGAGTTTTTTAAGGGGGTAGGTCAATCAAAATTTTCGAAATTGTTGATAGTTTCTTGTTTGAAGATTACAAGCTTAGAAATTATTTTTGCTGATATTCTAGATAGAAAGGAAGTCTGTTTAGACATAGAAAAATGGGATTTAAAGTAGTCGCAAAATTTTATTTTTTGCATAGGGGTCAGTCTATGATTTTGGTCAAAAATCTGAATTGTTTGTTTCATAGTTTAGTTTTGTTTGGTCAACATAAGCTTAGAAATATTGCTGGCTTGTATTCTAGACAGAAAATAAGCCTATAATAAATTTAATTTAATTTTTTCCATCCTTCTCTTTTTGCAAAATAAGCTTTTATATATTGTTTTTTGATATTTTAGCTAGAAAGGAAGGCTTTCTACACAATGAGACTGATTTTTTTAAAATATATTTACAAACTTTGTTTATTTTCATAGGGGTTAGTTTATGAGTTTGGTCAAAAATTTGAAATTGTTTTTTAATTAGAGAGAAAAGAAGGGTTTTTAGAATACAAAAAACTATTTTGAAATAGGGGCAACATTTTAATTTTCCAAATCCATGATTTTGGTCAAAAATGTGAATTTATTTCATAGATTATTTTTTGAGCAAAATAAGCCTCAAACATATATTGTTTGTTGATATTTAAGATAAAACAGTAGGCTTTCAAGATTACAAAAATGTAATTTTTTTATATCATAGGAAGTTTCGATGCTTTCGAAATAGGATCTTTATGATTTTGGAAAGTGATTTGCAATGATTTCACACATACACGAATTGTATTCTCGAGTGCCTTTTATTAGCTTTCGGTTACTACTAATAGAAATTTTGGGATATTGGTTGCTGAGCAAGCAACCAAGAGTTCTTAACCATTGTTTAAACCACTCTAAATGCAGTGTGAGTGGAGTTATATACAATTAGCATACTAGCAATTATTTCTGACTGATCTATTTACGTTACAAAAATCATAAGCAAAAAATACAAAAAACTAATCTTTTGGATGTCAGAATGAGGCTGAAAATGATATGAAGAGCAAGGCAGATATCGGTGGGTGTCATCCGCCTCGATGACACCCCGATTCAATCCACCTAATTTCTCATTCATAACAATAATTGTGTTACTGCTTTTCAAAATAAGGTTCTCATTTACCTTTTCTTCGGTACGTTCAGGATTTTAACTGATGTTTAGTTAAGCAGATGTCCTTTAAATAGATGTTCTCATCCTTTGAGGGCTATTATTCTTGGCAAAAAGGGTGATAATATTCTCAAGCTTTTAACTAAAATGGCTGAGGTACCGCGCCTTTCTGTCGATTTTTCCAGGGTACAAATGACATCAGAATGCCGATATTTGCAGAAGGTTTTTCAAATGTAGTCAACGGTATCTGGCTGTTAAGAATTTATGGGGGGATTTGAGCAAATTCAAACGAGGAAATATTTTGAATAAATAGTTAAGTTAGAGTATTTGAAATTAATATTTTTTTCCCGTGGTCTGAATATCTGTAAATAGGCCATTTTTACTTCTAAGACCAGAATTCATTTCGTTATTTCTTTCATATTAAAATTTGGTAATCCCTTTGAGGTTTCAGTAACAAGAGCCCTAATTTGCACAAGAAAGCCAAACACTAAAGGATTCTGGTAGTAGTAGTAGCAAAATGTCGCCATCATGCAAATGGCCTATTGGTCTTTTCAAAAGATTTTTGCATAAAACTACTAGGAAGTAACGTTATTTTAACTTAAATCATTCATCCGACCATGTAAGAGTTCTTGGCCGACACAAAATGTAATGAACAGTTGGACTTTTGGTTTGAGAAAAAATGGCATACACGATTTTTTGTTGTGATTTTTTTCTTTCTCTAGTATATCCTTATCATATTTGTTCAAGCTATAAAAGTTAGGTTTTGGGTGAAGACGCATTGTGAACCAATGGACCAGTTTCGATATCTGAAATATAAATGGTTTGGTTTGGTAGTATAAAACAGAAAAAATATTTGATTCATCCCTGAACCTCATCCAAGTATGAATCTTGATATATAGACATTGGTCTACATTGCTCACAAAACTCGAGCTTATTCCGGTTGCGTTTTGCTACCTCCTGGATGGATGGAATGCTTGAACGTCGTAAGGTTTGCCTCAGCAGTGGGAGTCTGAATGAAGTCGTTGGAAGGACTCGAAAAGACGATTAGAGCAAATTCGGAGTTCGTCGCAATCAAACATCGAATGCTCCATTTACAATTAACCCAGGATTAGACCTAATTGGCCTTCGAATGGATAACTTGGCTATGGGTGAACAGAGACAAAGCGGATAAATATGAAAATGTCTATGAGAAATACTATGTCACGACTAGAACGCGGATTACAGATCCCGAGTCTAGCGTGCATTTAAAGCTAAGCATCTCAGCTTTTAAAAATGTCCAGATACGCGTGGATGGAGTCAGACCCTTGAATAAAGAATGTAAACTGCAAGGCCTCCATTCCTATGCTCATGCGTCGGAATGTCGACATTGAGGAGTCGTCAAGATGACTAAATAATTGTCTCATTTAGTGCTCTATCGCCTTCTTTGAAATACCTGAATCAAACGAACTAGAATCTGTTCAAAAGGTTTTCAATGATGAAATTCAATATCATTAAATGAGTTTCAAAAGATTGATAGTTGACTGAAAGCGTTCTTTATATGTTGTTTGATGCGTCACCAGAGAACTCGACCAGCTCTTCGTATTCGTCTTCGTCATAGATGACATCATCAATCCCTGCATCCTCATACTGTTGGTATTCGGCTATAAGGTCATTCATGTTAGAATCCGCCTGTAATTTGAAAATAAAATTTCTTAAATTACCATTATTTTCTTTATTGGTGTACATATATTAAATTCGGCTCATTGGTACAATATTTTCTTTTCGTAGCGACCATTTAGAAAACCGTGAATACATGAAAAATTCCAGGATGTGATGTTGATTTTGTACTGACCAATCATAAGAAAGATCAAAACACACAAGCAGACCGCAAAAACACAAACTAATTTTTCCCTTTAGGAACCCCACTGTGTTTAACTCAGTGGATCCTCAGATGAGAAGTCGCAGAAATGCATTGTAAGGCTCATTTCAAACGTCCAAATTTTCATGTGCCGAACCTTATCCTTTCAATAAAGTACATGAAAAGATCGACTTTTGATTCAATTACGTCCGACATATGAATTAAGTTCGAGTGGCCTACATGGGAATTTCTACTGTGGAGCGATTCGTTTCAAAAGTCAAACTTTTCATGTGTCGAACCTAATGCATAAATTAATATAATTTATTTTTACTGGTAAGCATTGCACACACTTGTGAAAATGGTTGTATCCGACTAGTTAAGTTCGAAGTCTGCAGTTAGATGCATAAAATGTTGGACATTTGAACTGGGCCTAAAAGGTGGAATACCTCTGTAAATTCCATGATATCCATGCCTTCAGTCGTGTACCAATGGAGAAACGCCCTTCTCCTGAACATCGCAGAAAACTGCTCTGTAAACCTCTTGAATGCTTCTTGAATGGCAGTACTGTTATATAGAAATGTAGCGGCGGTTTTTTGCCCTTTGGGAGGCACATTACACACGGCCGTTTTCATGTTATTTGGTATCCAGTCCACAAAAGCCGACGAATGCGCGTTTTGCATCTCCGAAATGGTTTCTTCGACATCTCTCATGGCCAGCTGGCCTCTGAACATGGCGGCAGCTGTGAGGTATCGTCCCTGTCTTGGATCACAAGCCACCATCATGTTCTGGGGTCCAAACATATTGCTTGTGAGTTCGGAGATGGCGTATGATCTGAAGCTTTGCGAACCTTGGCTAATGAGCGGTGCGTGGGAGGGGATGAAGAAATGAAGACGAGGAAATGGTACCATGTTTACGGCGAGTTTTCTGAGGTCCGCGTTGAGCTGCCAAGATAGAGGACAATGAATCAATTGCAAAACCTCTCACATGCACTCCTTTTGAAGACTATCGAGTCAAACTAGTTTTATCACAGCTATAAAACTCCAATCACATTATCACTCATTCGCAGAGCAGCGATACTTTTGGCTAGCGTCACGGACCTTGAGTCCGCTAGAAAGCTTCGAGACCTCATTATCCTCTTCGACAATCTGGGATGTTTATAGCCTCTAGATGAACCTTTCATCGCTTTATAGATAGACCCCTTCTTAATAGAATTTATGCCTTAAATTAATTTAGTTCAAACTAAATATTGTTCATTTTTGCCTTTTTGAATAGACGAGAAAATTGATGACGTCACAAAAATTAAATTTCTAAAATTATGAGGTAGTTTGGCATATCTAGGAAGAATAAGATGAAAAGTGTTCCCTTGCGAAAAAAAACATCAGCCTGGTAATGCAAATTGGTGGCGGAGGTATAAGCACCGTGAGTTTAGATGTATACAATCCTTCTAGAATAGTTTACGATCCAAGCCAATTTTAGAAGGATTTGTTTGGCGTCGTGAAAGTATAACCGTGCTTATATCTTCCCACCAACTTGCCCCAACAGACTGATCTTTGGCAAGGGAGCTTTTTTCATCTTCTTCCTTCTAAGTATGCTAGCTAATCCATTATTTTACACAAATTCAATTTTTTTGACGTCCTGCTTCTTTACTACATTAATATCTACACACAAAAAATTAGACTTGGATCATATTATCTCGGGTAAAAATGAAGAGTTTTGCCACCGAATCAACAGCCCCATGAAAACTAGGATACAAATGCGGTATATATTTACTCTCTTTGCCTTTGATTTCCACGTAGTTTGTGCTTTTTTGGACTATGTTCACCCCGAGAAAATTTGATTTAAGCTACTCACCTGACCAGGGAAACGCAGTGATGTCGTCACACCTGCCATAGTGGTGGCCACTAATCGGTTCAATTCGCTATAAGTGGGTGTCTTAAGTTTGAGAATGTTCGAACAGATATGATACAATGCTTCGTTATCAATACAAATAGCGGCATCTGCAATGTCAACAAGGTGATGGAAGCTTAAAGTAGCATTGTAGGGCTCTGTGACTGTTTCAGACACCCTCGGTGAGGGAAGCACAGAGAAGCTGCTTAGCAGTCTGTCTGGGTATTCTTCGCGAATCTTTGACATTAACAGCGAGCCAAGACCTGAACCAGTACCCCCACCTAACGAATGTGCAACCTGAAAGCCTTGGACGCAATCACAGAATTCCGTAAGTTTGCGGATGCAGTCCATGCCTGATTCCAGTAGTTCCGAGCCCTCTGTGTAAAATCCCTTGGCCCAATTGTTTGCTGCACTGCTCTGACCTACATCAGAAATTGAAAAATAAACGGCGCTTTGAAGGTGATGTGGGCTTTTAGTTATTCATCGAGACTTCAGCTTTTATTCGAACTGACTGAAGCTACCGTATTTAATTTGGGATGGTTGTATCAGAGCTCGTCGATTAACCATTATAGAGCGTGTATCGTAACTTCTTTGCATCCGTTTGCACACCCTGTTGCATGTTGTTGGATGTTGTTGCGTGTTGTTGCGCAAAGTTTGAAACCGGTCAAACTTTTCAGCCAGCAACTCCCAACATATCTTTTGTTCCGTGATCGCCGAAGCGTAGCGCAACAATGTTGGATCCGTTTGCACAGCTCTTCCAACATTGTTGGGGCCACGCACGCTCATTACGCATGGATTACAAAGACTTATGGACTTATCCCACGATGCACTGCAGGTCCCAACATTGTTGGGAGTTGTTGCATCCGTTTGCACACCTCTGCCAACACGTACGCAACAACTCCCAACATTGTTGGCGCAACAATGTTGGGATTTGTTGCGCCCGTTTGCACACAGCCTTAGAACGCTACTCCTCGGAAGATTTTAGAGCTTTATATTTCCCCATACTGTATTGGAGACCATTTCTATCTAAAACAGTTGCGGTAAAAACTGCGCGAAACATAATGAACTTTCAGTTCAAGTTTGCCTTTTCAACGATAGCGTTTTATTTCTAGCTACGTAAATCAGTATTAATATTACACATATAGCTCCAACGTGTACTTTCGACTGGGTGTACAAATCAAACAAAGTGCTAAGACAACTCACCACATATGCAGTTATCGGGGCTAAAAAGTCCTCCATACTTCGAGGAACGAAGTGAATTAATAGAGCCTGGCTCGAGATCCAAGCATGCTGCCCTGGGGATGTACCTGCCATCTTCATATAAAAGGGAAACGCACACGAATTGTTTTAGACTTACAGATAAAGATAACGATATTTTGTTTATTTAGCGCTAATTACATAAATATTCTAAGGCGCTAATAAAAGCTGACAAACGCTAACAGATAACAAATGGTATACTAAGTGAATTTGAAAAAATAAAAAACACTGCAATCTCACTGTTCAGTACAAGAATTGGCAAATGGGGAATGAACTCGGAAGGAACACGAAACAGGGACATAGGGGTACAAGGCGTTCTGGCTGAATAAATACTTACCCGATGTTTCGCTGAAGTAAACGTTTAGCCTGTCTGTTTGTGGACTTTGCCCTTTACAATGACCATCTGGCGTAATGCCGTGCTCATCAGAAATAAGTTCCCAAAACTAAAGGACAAAAGAATGCTATTCATTCCACTGTTTCACCACACTGTTTGTTTTTGATGTTGTTTTTTGCCCCTATTTTCAAGACTGTTGTATCCAGTTGCACCGAGTGCTTTACTGTAAGATAAGTCAGAATTCAAGGGAGCGAACTAGCGAACTGTAGTTTGGTGGTGTTCACTGTATGTAAAAATATAATTTGTTGCTGGCTCCTCAAGGGGCAAGATGAAGCGGGTCCTGTGTTCTGCAAATGATTGGCTAACTAAGCGGGGCCATATGAGCTGAGCTTTTTTTTTCACGTACGGGCTTAGCCGCTTTGTTCTCTAAAACAACGTTTGGCTATATTATATATCTTTTATTGACTGCGCTTGCTCGCTCCAGATCGATAGCTGGTTATTAACCTCCTTTTTGGGGACTAATATCCAGCCATCATTGATCTCACTTATGATGAACAACAACGAATATAAATTTACCACTGAATGCCACTTTTTGGGGACTAATATCCAGCAATCATTGATCTCACTTATGATGAACAACAACGAATATAAATTTACCACTGAATGCCACTTTTTGGGGACTAATATCCAGCCATCATTGATATCACTTATGATGAACAATAACGAATATAAATTTACCACTGAATGCCACTTAACAGCAAAACGGAAAACTCAAGATACACCAAGTCTTTGTACGCGAGTGAATAAATCATTGCCATCCGCCCAATGTTGGTTTCACTTGTTTGCGTAGGCATTGACCTCTTGGAAGTCAGCATTAAAGAGAAGGGGGCCCAAAAATTCCCAGGCACTGTGAACTGTCCTGATTAGGATTTTGCAAACAGATTTATTGCATGTAGATGAAGATCTCTATAAAAATAATATATACGACCGGGAATGCGCGGCTAGGTCCAAGATACTCCCAGAAAAGGCCAACATCGAAAGAACCTGCTGAGAAACTTTAAGCCCTTTATTTTCACGTATTAATGAGCGGTACATGACTGCTGGCCATGTTTTCAACCATATGAAATAACTAAAGTTTTCAGTTTTCAGGTTTTTACCGCGCCTGTCAGACACACATGTATGCTTTAATCTCTCACTACGCTAATCATGAATTCTTGCTAGAATGTTCTATTCTTAGTTTTGAAGTAAACCGTTAACTCTATCATCTCATCAGTTTCAACTCTTTCCTTGCTTTCTCTGTTCTTTTACTGAACTAGACTTGAAAGAATGCATTGCAGTTTGTTTCCCGACAAAGTTGATTTGACATAGATAAACAGACAAACAAACTATACACTAGGAAACTGTTGTTCCTTTTCAAGTATTGAATAACGATTCAATTCACTCTCTTCATTTTTGCTGCACTCGATTCATTTCAAATGTGAGGCTTGTTTCACTATTGCACGTTAACACGTTCTGTCCTAGTGGTAATACTGATTACCGCTTGTTAAGAGATGGGAGGGAGAAATGTAAAAATCAAAATTTTTTCATCTTAGAGACAATTGTTTGCCGTGACATTGAAACCAAGAAATAAGTAGTGCTTTTCAAGTTCTTAATTCCCTCCTAAAGAGCGACCTACTGCGGGGAACTCAAGAGTCGTTTAACAACACAGTTAAACTTGTAACATTTACATGTGACCATTTTAAGACTTAGACTTAAGACTTTTGCTGACCAAAACATACTTGCGGACGCTATCGGTAATGCGCCTTGACGGAACCCTTTAGTTATATATTAATCTCAAGATTTATAAAATTTATGTTTTAGAGAAAAAAAAAACACCCGATAGTAAAATTCTGAATTTCAACGATGTTCTTCAACAGGTGAATTTGCACGTCTCGCTTAGCAGGTGGCAGAGCCATTATCTTGAATTTAAAATTCTTTAAAGTAAAGGGGCCTCGTGTGATAATTCTTTTAAAATTTTCTTATAAAGTAGATGACAACGCCTTTAGAGCATCTTTTGGTTTAAATTACAAAAAATGCAGTTTCTCTTCCCAAAAATCACCACTTCGCCTAAAAACTATTTTGTATGTTGTCAAATTTAAAGTAAATAACGTAGAAAACCTGCAACAAAGATCTTAAGATTTAAGTGACCTGCTCGATTTTAGAGCAGGTGGGTATCTTGCAGTTGACATATGTTTTTGAGCGAAAAATCAAAAACTTTTTTCCCCGCCTTGAGCTTAGTAAATCAAACTGCGATTTCTTCTGACAAGGAAGCGTACTTATGATAGTTGCCAAGCTTCAGCCTTCGGTCACTGACGAAGTAGTTCACCTTATCGCTCCAGAAGAACTATCCATTATGGAGACAATATACTTTGCTCGATCTTTTGAGACTTCGGAAAAAAATCTCGCTCTGGAGTAAACATTAACATTAACCCTCTTCAGTAGTACTTTCAAACTGAAATTATGATTTTTCTTTAATTTTGGCGTTAGCGTTTTTGGATGAGTGCATTGTCATAGTCGATAACTTTTGAAGCGATCCGTATCCCGTGCTTATGTCAGTGCAAAATTCCCTTGTTCTTGCCGTCGAGTACAAAATAAATTGTGTATCATTCAACACAAATAAGTCCTTATTATCAAAAAAATTTCGATCACACGTTTGGATAAGCAGAAGATTAGATTCTTGGTGGAATTTCCCTTTTTATATTACTTCTGTGGTCGCTCCGAGTCTTCAATTCCGTAACAACAATAACAATGAGAGTGAGTCCAAAATTATCGGGCTTGAGACCTCGCTTACGCAGATAGAAGGAGAGAGGCAAAAGTTTGAATGCATAGAAGAAGGTTTGTTTTATGCGTTTAATCGAACTTGCACTTCCTTAGCCCAAGCTGGAGCAGTTAAAGCGCGTAGAAATGCTTTTAACAATCATTAATTAATAAATAAAGCTGCCTTTTGCAGCTGATCGAACTTTTAACCCTGAGCAATCTTAAGTGGAGCGTGCAGTTTTCACGATTTGATTTATTTTCTTGTAAGTGGGTAGAAACTATAGAGTGGGGTACAATTGTAGTTGCTCCCTTTGGCTTAAAATTGGTTGACATTCTAAAAGTTACAATTCGAATGTTTCCACCGATCGAAACACATTTCTTAAGTTATTCAACAGCTTGCTTTCTCTCAACGCAACTGATCTGGAAATTACATTTTTCGTTCGTAATGTTTTGGAATTTCTAGCTATTTCTTAGTTGTATTATACCACTTAGTCTAAAATAGAGACCTTCATCTGCGTATGGCTGTCGCGAAATGTGTACTCACGTCTACAGTGCGTGACAAAGTAGTATTTTGAAGTTTATAATGTCTCTCTAAAGAATTGTTTTTGTTCTAAATTTTACGCATATTCGCCCAAATATAAAGGCTTTTTTTTAGTGAGAAAGACACCTGTGCAAAAAATTTATTAGGACTTTTCTGAATCAACTTCGAGGCTTCATTACCATAGTTAAGAGAATGATCAACTTCGGTGTGTCATGTCTATATATGTATCATACCTTGGAACTTATTTGATTTCCACACTGGCCAACCTGGATGTGAACTATGTCTCTCATGTTATTTGATTATCAGCTTGTTCCTGTCGGGGAGATTTGTGTGGAAAATCACTTTAAAATACGGGGACAAGTCTGCACATCGTCTTCAACTCATTAGCAACAAGTTGGCTGGTTAGCCGTGTTCTTGCTTCGTTCCAAAGAGACACATCTCATTAAATATTATTACTTAACTTGGTCAAGTTTCTCGCCTTAAGTGCCATTTAACAGTCGTTATAAGTTATGAACAGTTAAACACCCTGTCATTTAGATATCTACCAATAGTTCCGTGAGTTAACATCATGGCGTTTAGCACACACGTCAAACAAGCCCTAGACTATAACCCTTTTATGCTTCCGCGACTACAGACAATTGCGTGAAAGTTTAAATACATGTGCGGTGCTTAAAATTGTCAATTTCTTCTAATTTTGTGTCACATGCAAGCACCTTACCTTGAAAACGTCTTTCTAGTTGATTGATTCCAAATGGCATTTTGATGGCATTTAGATCTTTTCAGATCTCAATGGTACTCTAAAACCAAAGCCATTAGGACATATTTGAAATGGGCTACATTCTATCAATTGTCTGAAGGCATAAATAATTTACCATGGCCATGTTTAATTTGGATGAGGGGGGTGGTCCATTCATGGTGTTTCTCGTCGCAGTAAAGTAACAGTTTTTAAGTTAATAAACCTTTCAAAGGAGCTGTCGTATTTCTATTGGTCACGGGTCATGTCAATCTTTTGAACGCCAGTGGCATTGGTTGGATCAACAAAAACAGGAATGTTTTTTTAAACCTGCAGGAGGAAAATAAATAGAAATATAAATCATCAATTTCGCTCATGCTTTTTAGAGGTCTGTAAAGTTTACCATTTCAAACTGATCATAAGCCACATCGACGACAAAAAACCAGGCAAATTTTGTGTTTTTACCACTCAAGAATTCTCACAATATTGGGAATTTTATCGCAAGGACTGGAAGAAGGATATACATGTATGGCTAAGGATCTGGAAATTTCGCCTTCGAAATTTTAGGCCTTAAGTTCCTTTTTTCCATTTCTTTTTTCTTGAAAGGTTGTAAAATGAAGCTCCTCGTTTCAAAACTTCAAATAAAAGTTTCTGCGTGACTTTTCAAGGCTATTGTTCGAAAATTAGACCATGTAGCCACGACCAAAACAACACGCAAATTTTTGACTCAATCAACAAACTAACACAAACCAAAACAAAAAAACAGTAAATAGACAGGAATTCAACCGTATCTAAAAGCGTCTCTTTTTGAAGTTAAAGAAATATTCTGTATTTCCTACAGAACGTTAGATCTATTGTTTAACTTTCCACCGGTTTTTCTACCATGCTATGCGACAATGACACCTGAAGTAGATGATCTTTTTGGAGGTTTGAGCTTTTGCGTGTGTTTTTGTATTTCCTTTATTTATTATATTTTATGTTATTAGCTTCGCCTGTTACTAAACAATGAATAATAAATAAATGCTAATAGGCAGGGGTGCCACAACAGCGGTGAGCCAATTACAGTGGTCCCAGAGCTTAAAAGATATAAAAGAAACAGTAAAACTTCATGTGACAATTAAAAACAACAACGGAGACGAACAGACACGTTACGTGAAATGTTACATGACGGACAGATGGTTTTCTAGGATCGTGGGTTCTCTGGGTCGTAGTTACGTTCTCAGGCATCCACGTAGTACTTGTAAATGATGGATTTGAATTGGCTGATCTGAAGGTTGTGTGAAAGTTGAAGATCATTTGCTAGTGTGTTCCAGATTCTGGTGGTTCTATTAAAAAAAGAACCGGGAAAAGTGACATTATTACATTTCCTTGAAATAAAGTGAGTGACATTACGGTTGCTGTTAGATCTGGTAGTGCGAGTGGCTAGAACTTGCGGGAGAACAGACGGACAAACTCTAACTGTTCCAGTTTGTGTTTATGTTCTATGCCTAACTTAGTTTTCTGGCTCAATTTTTTTCACCTGCTATTGCCTATTATTTTGTTCAGCACAGCAGGCTAAGCGGACAAAACGAATAATAACAACAAAAAAAGAACGTAAATGGTGCTTATTTTTTGAAAGTGGGTTGAAGTTTTCTTTCTGTCCTTGATATCATCCTCTCAGGACACACGTGATTTTTCCACATGTATGCTTGTGTAAGTCCATCTTTTCCACTGGACCAAACGATGAAACTTTAAATGAGCAATGAAATGTAAACATCTTTTTCTGCGACCGTATCGGGAAAGGACAAACCTTTCGTAATTGCGACGATTGGCACAATGGGACAATGGGAACTGGAGCGATGATGTAATATGACTTGAAATGTGAGTTCATGTGTTCAGAGTCCATTGAGCGCCTCTGTCTTCGAGCCTGAGAAAGCAACTGACATTTCGCGATGCTTCCCCTAGTTTCTATGCATACATAATGCGATCCAGATGGCCGCGATCTTGAATTTTAATGACACTTCAGTTTTGCAAGAATATGCTCGCGTAGGTAAGTGATCGACCCATTAAACTTTCAAGATGTGTTTGAAAAAATCATTGCTGCCTTTGGAAGTGTTTTCCACGTTTCTTACCACTAAAAGTACAAAATTAAACCTTTTTTTGGCATAAATGGTTTCAATTTATGTTACTGTTAGCGGTTGCATACCGTAGCCTACAGCAATCGATTATAAGCAAATTCCCTGCTCCCCCCAAAAAGAAAAAAAATTTTAAAACCTTCCGAATGAGGGGGGCGTAAGGGGGGTCCGAAAACCGCAAAACCGCACAGAAATACGCCAAAAAACCGCAAACCGCATCGGATTTTTTCCCGAATACCGAAACCGCGCGTACATGTAGGCCACAATATGAAAGCTGACGTCAGCAAGACTTGTGATATATTCTGATAACATTGTGCGTTAGTATTAAACATACCATCATAACGCTAACTAACTAACTAACTAAACTATGACCGCTGATGAATAATTAAAGGATTTCACTAATTAAGCACAGACTCAGCACATGGTGACTTGACCTTTTACTGCTGGCCGTCCAAATCTCCAAGGTCTCCAGGGGTGTTGTTATTTTCCGACAGTCGACAAACGAGAAAATATCACTCTATATAGACCTTTCTATCAATTAAACCTGTTTAAAAGGAGTCGTTAGTCGTTTACAGGACAAAAACCCTGAGAGTTTTGACTCAAAATGGACGAAATGGTCTTAAACAAACACCATTAACAAGCCAGTATTGTATATCGAATAAGTTCAAAACCCAAAGGATCCCAAAGGACCCAAAGCCCTGAACAGGTCCTCTACAGGTCTACGACCTCGTCTACAGACCTATAGCCTGCATAGCAAGCTTTTCCGCGCGAGTTCGTCGAGAAAGTTGGGACGAGAGCAAAAAAAAAGGAACTAACTTTCGCGCTATAACTCGACTGGAAACGCTTGCTACGCAGGTTAACAGACCTAAAGAGACTAAATATTATACGACCACTTAGTGATCTGGAATCAGTGCTGCTTTGGAATGCGTAGACGTTTTTTGGGAGCTTTACATTACATTAAAACTAAGTAAAATTGTGGTAGTACTTACCAAACTGTCTCTGTGAATTTAATGACGCGCTTCTCATTTTTGTTTACCTTACAACGAAATTTGTTCTTTTTTCTTAAATTCTCCCCTTCCTTTCCTTCTTCACAGAAGATTGCCACGCAATTAATTACTACTTCGCTTTCAGTTGCGACCTCGACGACCTCAGTTGCCATTGTCGCGCATTGAATCAAAGCAACGAGAACATGAGGCTGTACGGCTGTACGAGCTAACATCCGGCATGGAATTTCACGAAGTCGACATCATTGGCCAAAACGGTTAACCACATTAAGTATTAACTGGAAAAGGCCGTAATTGCAAACCACAGAGTTAAATTGTAAGCTGATATAATGAACCCTGATGCGTTGTAAAACAAAGCACTTGGCTCGCGCTGGCAAAACAACCGGATGCCGACCGTTCTAAAGAGTGTTATCACCGCAGACACTTTTTTTCACCGAAAACCGCGACTTAAAGGTTGTAATAACCGCAAACCGCTTAGTGTTTTGAAACCGCAATACCGCGAGTTAAAATAAAAATTACCGCAAAACCGCACCAAAAATAACGCAAAACCGCATCACCGCAAACCCTTACGCCCCCCTCCCGAATGTTCCAAAAGTCTCGATGTTATTGGTCGTCTGTCTGTTAAGCAATACTAAAAACAGAATATTTTACAATCCTAAAAAAAAAATACTGGGTAAATTTACTAAAAACGGTGGGCACGACAGGATGTCTCGTTATCCAGAAGATTCTTTGCTGCAATATTTCGTTTGCGCAATTTATTCTGGACACGTCATTGTCCTAACGAAGTTAAGCTATAAGATGTTACAAGCAAAATGGATTGAAGTTTCGAATGTAATTTCAAACAAGCCGAGTAATCGAGTACAAATTTTTATATTGATCTTGTTTTGAAAAATCGACTTAAAGAGATAATATTTGTTCTCTTTTATTGTGTAAATGCCAATCATATCTTTCAAAGTTTGCAGTTTCATCCTGCTAAAGGCGTCAATTGGGTTTGTTATGAGGGTCACCCCTTTTAGCTTGTAAAGGAGCGCTACTTAAAAGAATGTTACAATCTTTCAATTACATCAAAGAAAACGTACATGACTTATTGATTGGTATTAAAAATAACGTTTGTTAAACTAAAAATTGAAAAGAAGCATAGTTCATTGGCTGTGATGTTTTTCTAGCTGAGATTTGCCTATTCAGCTGCCAAAGATGTTTTGTTCAAGAAAGTAAACATTTCTTGTCTCAATTTGCTTCACTGTCACATGTAATGAAATGAGAAACGAGAATAACTCACTACATGGCATTGACGTTTTTTAATGCATTCTTTTCTTTCCGTTGATCAGAAATTCAGTTTTTGGACGATTTTTGGAAATAGAACTGAGATACTTTAAAGAACTAAAAATCATGGTTTCTAACATAGGTTTCTGGTTTCTTTGGTATTTTAAACGCTTTGCTTGTGCTGGACTCGTTACGAAAGAAAATATATGAGCTGCTACCACATACAAATCAGAGTCCACAGTTTGATTTGGGTTTAAGGTAGGTAATTTTATAGAAAATATTGATAGCGTCTTTAAGTACCATGCTTTATGATACATAGATTTGGACAGTCTTTAAACTAAAATTGCGTTACTAAGAATTCGAAAGGTTTCATAACTTTAATTCAAACAGACTTGGACTTTCGATTCGAAGGCGTTACCATTTTTTGGAAGGGCCCAGAAAGAAAGGCTAGATCCGCGATACATAATACTACCTTTTGACCGGTTTCACGTTGAATGACTACACTGGATAAAGCCTTAACAGAATTCAACAGTTATACCAGGGATTAAAAGCTGTTTTTAGTTAAACACGATTTAAATCGGCTAGCACAAATTTAGCAAAACTAAGGGTACCGTTACTTGATCCCTTATGTTAAAGTAAGTCTTTAAGTTTTCTGTTATTGATTTGTATTTTGATTGAAACTAGCTGAGTTGAACATTGTTAGCTCTTAACTTGGGTGCACTTCTTATTTGCCTTTATAATCCAAAAAAGAATCTAAGGATTAGCAACAAACCGGCCGATCTTGCCGCACAATTATACAGAAATGGGAGAGTAGACACTTTTTAATAAGTAAAAATTTTTTTTTTATCTTTTCATGACTTGCGATCCCTTAATTAAAACCTAAGGATTGCTATGACTTGAAACGTTGCGTGATTGTCGTGGATTTGATATGTTGCAATTGATCAAGGGGAAAGTGACATCATGTTGACAGCTCAATGTCAACTCGGCGCAATTTTTTATTACTGCAATCATGACAAAAACAAAGCACGTACAGCGCCTTGATCCGTTTACTCCTTGGAAAGTGGGAGGCCCTAATCTAATAATATCATAACTTTTGCTTGGTGATGAACCCCAGCTTTCATGACCCTCGGTTAATTGAACCACGTTCCCGCGCGCACAGTCGAAAATTATTCGTTTGCGCAAGAAAGATTTCCGCACAGGGTAGCTGCTATAGAAACCCTTGAAATTCATAAACCCAATTTTTGCTTTTTAATGTAAGGTAATATAAGAGGTGGTAACGGAAAATTGAGGATTTTCACGAGAGAAGATACAGGGCGAATAAGTTTTTTTAAAGGCCGGATCAAAATGACAGGTGTACTTAAGCTGTAAAAATAAATTGTTTAATATTCGATTTTGATTGCCGACGCTTCAAAGGGTTTCGGTGATTGTCATTTTGCAAAAGCACCAAGATCGTATTCTTTTATAAATTGTAGGTGACCAGTTTTCAGTGATATCATGTTATTGTATGTTTCCGATGCATTAAAAAGAGTATGATTTAGTTTAAAGCGTTGGTGTTTTCTGTTTGCGCTTAGATTTCATAGCAAACAATGAAAAAAATCTATTTCAAACACTGAGTTACTCAGTTTCGCAACAGTATGTCGTCTTTAATGGAGTATTCTCCATGTTTTATAAGGCGGATATACTTTTAACTGAACACTGATGTCGGAGCTCTATGTATAAAGTTTTAAACTAATAATTAATTTCCAAAGAAATAAAACCGTATGGTAGGTTTTGATTTTATTTATCATAAGGAAAACGATCTACTCAAGAGAAAGCAAAAATTGGGGTAGATGTTTCAATTTACAGGATAACAACTATATAATAATTATTATTCATGTTATATTACCTAATATCACGATGCGTGCTTGGTATTTGATAAACCTTTTTTAAATATTACTCTCGCTCGCTGTTAGTCACGTTCAACAGCATTTTACCATATCCGTTATTTCCTCTTTCGGAACTGATAAAAATGCAATTAATCACAATATTTATTTTGCCCCGAGGTTGTCGGGTTTGATTGGTTTAAAATCATTTAATTTCAATTTTCAGTTTTCTCCGGATAGTAAAATGTCCCGTCTATTGCCTCATATTTTGTGTCTACTTTTAATCAATTTATCTTCGAGACTTTCGGACCTCGTGCTGGGAACGTTTTTCTTACTTTTGCTCATGGCAAACTGTAAGTGAAAAAAAAGGCACTTTATGTGAGTGACATTGTATTTAGCACGAAAGTACTCATAGGGGACACTATTTTGTTTCGTCTCCTACTGGAGACGGGAGCGCCACTTTACATGGTCATCCGAGCCACGTTAAGTTCCAGACGCTTGCAGTGCAAAGGGAGTACCTTCATTTCTCAGTTATTTTAAGACCCTGAGTATTGTTCCGGCCCTGGGAATCGATCCCACGACCTGCCGCTCAGCAGTCAAGCGCTCTACCGAATGAGCCCTTTGACTCCCAGTGGTGGGCAGAATTAAATTTTTAGAAATGGTTTCAAATTTGTACTTGTCAAATTGTCAGATCTAAAAATTTCTGTTCATAAGTTGTGCCAAGGAGGTCCCATATGGAGGTTAAAACATAGGATTTGGCTCGAGTGAAATATCACCACTCAATACTCAGGCCCGGTATGGGGGGGGAGGGGAATATACCGAGTACACCGGATTTCTCTTTTTTGCCCCGAAACTACCAAAATACCGTATAAATTGACAAAGAATGCAAAGATACAGACATTTTGGAGGTTGACGCTGAAAGTTTTTTTTAAAAATTTCCTTCTTCATTTTTCGCCCGACCAGTGCTTGACTATGGATAAAATCTTATAAAAAGAGGCTTAAGAAATGTAACAGACGTTTACATCATGATTTCAAAATGGCGGCCATCTTGGATTTTTACAATGTTAGAAGATTGTCGGTTGGTGGAAAAATTTCAAGTAAATGCAGTTTTTGCCGCATGCTCTGGGTAAAATTTAACAATGTTATTTGATTTTTGTCGTAGGAAGTAATGCACATGGTTTACAATAGAGAGCTGAGCCAAAGACTGCTTTTTGCAGCTGTAGCCATCTTGTCCTTGGCGGGAAATCTATTTTTTATCGTTCTCATCGTACGTTACAGGAAACTCATGAAAAACGCGTATCACGTGGTACTTTTGAACTTGGCGTTTACTGATATGATGACAGGTGACGTCATATTTTTTTTCAGTTGTTTTACGAATACTTATATTTTATGTGCGGAGTAACATTCGTTTGGTAATTGATAAATGAATGAAAAAGGCTATGATATCATTACGGCACTTATATTCTCACCTTTTCTACTCCTGAATAAACAATAGACCTACTCGGCTAACTCAATGTTGTACCCAATTCAAATCTCCCGGGGTCAAGATTCTTTGTGTACTGTATTTGCATGATAATGTTGCATTCACATTTAAATGATATGGAAATTCCTGAAACAAAACGTTTTATCCCCAAAGGGTTTGAATTGGGTACAACATTTAGTTAGCCGAATAGGTCTATCTGACAAATGCTGAATGCGAAATTTCCCCTAAAACCAAACAAATTCATCTTCTGAAGAATTTTGATATCAAACAACAAATATCGGAGAACAGACATCAGACATCAGAAATCCACACAAGACATCACATCATTACCATCATCATTATCAGCATCGTCACCTTTTTATAATTGGGCGTCTTTCTGACTCGAATTTATCGATGGATCCGGTGAAGAAAGTGTTTTGTTTACAAATGCAAATTAAGTCTTGCGTCACTTTATTTAGCTGACAAGTTCGTAACTCCATTTGAAGAAATTTTCCCACAAGACTGCAAAAAAAAAAGGCCGTCAAAAGTTATGTTTGTCAGCAAGAAAATGCGACGGTTGTTCGGTCATTTGCGCGCCAAAATTGTAATTGTTGGGTAGCGGTAAATGGGTTAAAAACCATTATTTTTGTGCCCAATTATCTCACAGCTTTAGTCAGCACCGGCTCGAGCAATTTTCCACCTCAGTGTCGGTAGCTAGTGGTTAAAATTTAATGAGCCACGAAGCGGCGATGTCCGATGTCTGATGTCCGAGGCCTGATGTCTGATGTTTGATGTGCGATGTCTGATGTCTGATGGTTGATATCTGATGTCTGATGTCTGTTGTCCGATTCTGTTCGCCGTGTCCGATATATGATGTCCGATGGTTGATGTTTGTGTTTTGACGTAAGATGTCCGATATTTGATGTCCGAAGTCCGATGTCTGATGACCAGTGTCTGGTGTCCGATGTGTGACTGTGTGATGTCCGATGTCTGATGTCTGATGTCAAATGTCTAAAGTCTGATGTCCGACATTTACTTTCACCATTTCATATTTGAAAGCGAATTATTCTTTATCGTTACCAAAGCATTAATTATTGATTTAATCTATTTCTTTTAGGCTTTTTTCTCTTTTTAACTCCAGTTTACATCATCGGAGAGCAGCCCAAATTAACTGGTCAGAACATTGGCTCTGCTGTTTTTTGTTATATTATCGCAAACCAATTTCTTGTCTTCACCTTTGGAATCGTCTCTCTATACACTGTCACGCTACTCGCCGTGGAGCGTTGGTTTGCTGTCTTTCGTCCCTTGAGATACAAAACAACATTTAGGCCACACAGAGTGCAAAAATATCTTGTAATCATCTGGTTGAGTTCTTTTGCTTCAAACAGCACTCACCTTCTGGAAACAAAATTTCTATTACACAGCAAAAACGAGACGCAAAGATGCGTGTTTCGCGGAATAGCAGGGAATGAATCAAGGGCTACTATAGGAGTAGTAGAGATCTGCTTTAAGTTTTTCACTCCTGCATTAATATTATTGGTGACATTTTCACGCCTTTATCATTTCATGAGAGATTCATCTGTTCTTTCAACAACTCGTCGAAGTCACGTGGTCATCACACGAGTGATCCATATGGCGGCAATAACATCATTTGCGATGGTGTTCTGTTGGTTTCCCAATCAACTGTTTTATTTACTTTTCAAATTCAACCTGGTAGAGTTAAACACGGGGTGGCACCGAGCAACTGTTATTCTCTGTATGTTTAACTCATGCTTAAACCCATGCATATTTCTCTTAAGTAATAAATTTTACCGACAAAAAGCAAACAAAATGCTGCCAGATTGCAGAGGGCTGCGAAAGAGAGGCAAGACCTCATTGGCTGAAAAGACCAACGTGACTGAGTCTGTTGTCTGTGTAAAGTTTATCAAGACACAAACCATGGGAGAGGAGGGTGTGGAAATGTTGGAATAGACGCTTAACAATTCTGCAGCCAGCATCACACAGCCTTAAGCTGGCGGATGTTGCCATTTTGTAAATCTACTTATTCTATATTTATATATTTAATTACACCAAATGTTTAATTGAGTACTTTATGCAGGATTTTAAATTCTGATACTCTCATAAGGTTGTTGGTACAACAATTCTTAAATGAGATTCTTTACGACCCTTATTAGTGACGAGTGTAACTTACGAGTTAACAAATGATAGGTATTTTGTTTCTTTCCTGTTGTTACCAGCTGTATTGTCATAGGTGGGGGAGAGGGAAATATTGCGATTTAAGAACCTTTTCCTGCTTGGTTAACAACCAATGTTTCAAGTTGTTTAAAGGTGTCTAATATGCCCTTAATATTTTGTTTCTTACGTATTAAAAATCTCCAATTAATAAATCGCCTAAAACAGGAATTTCAAGTTTGAATTGTTTTCTAATGAAATATTTCAAGGTAAGTGCAGATCAGACTGCTACAATGAATCAAAATGTGTAATAATTAACGTTTTAAGCACACATGGAACTAACTGGTTTTGCTAATCAGTATAAGTTTTAACAGGATACGAGGGAAAATCCTGACCAAATTTCATCCAACTAGTCTGTTTACCGTCCCGCCGGTTAACTAAAGCTTTAAACAAGCCTTAAACTTTGTCCATTACAGCCCTAACCTTGTACCGACTGTGATATTTCCATATCACTATCTCTCAAAAAATAGTTGGAGAAGGAATGGCATGTGCAGTTAAACTACTGTCGTCATTATATTGGTTTTGGTTCACTGTTATGATCCCTCACACCTATTCCTAAAATCTCTTTCTTGGTGAATGTTTTATATCCGTCGAGATGCCTTTGCTGAGTTCCATCTTGAAAATAATTAACATTCTTGTATAACTTGCCCAGGCTTCATCGGCTTTTTATTCTTCGGTTGTTTTTCCCGATTAGTTATTTTCGCCACCTGGCTATTTCGGGTGCCCGTCTTTTTTGCTGTAATTTCTGTATCTTCAGGTCGGACCTGCACTTTCCGCCAGAGGCATAAAATTTGTTTGATTTTTTTCCTGTAATTGCGGTTTGTAGCTCCATATATCCAAGGATTTAAGCAGGTATTGAACATGGCTAAGACGACAGTAGCATGATGTAGCGGTGTGTCTAACTTGGTGATGTTAAATTTAGATAGCAAGTAAACAAACTGATTTGGGATCCAGCAAATTGCCAAGAACAAACCTGTTATAGCGCACATGCGCAAGAGGCTCTTAAAAGAATTTGCTTGGTTGCTCTTACGAAAACAATAACGTGATCTGTTCATGGCACGCCATAAATGGAAGAAAGTGATCAAGGATATGAACAATGGGATGAAAAATGTGAACATGACATAAATGACGGTAAAAACTTGTGTAATAGACTTGCTTTTGATCAGTGTAATCCACATACACGATGGTATCTCTTCCTTCTTAACCAGCTTTTTCTCGACGAGCGCTTGCCAGTTCAAAGCACAACAAAACAAGGATACACTTGTGATGTAAAGAACGACTCTTGGTCGCTTGAAAGACCTTTTGTACTTGGTTGATCTCGTGATTGCATACCATCGATCAATTGCTAACAGCATCACTATGGCAACAGATATCTTGCCAAACGTGAAGACAAAAAAGTGGGAGCTGATTATATGGCAGTAGATTTCTCCGGCCAAATTTCCCGGAACGGGAAAGTTCTCGTCCCCGATGATAAATGCCGGTGTAATGACCAGTATGATTCCTGTGGAGATGGTAAAATATCAGGGGCGCCCAACGAGGATATAGTTCAAAACCACTTAACATAGCATTGTTGAACGTATTTCAGTATTCAAACGGTAAAAATAGGCATAATTTTATCCCCTAAAAACTTTTCATCTGTTCGGATTTCCTAGCTGAAAGTCTAGTGATCCGAAAATTATAGGGATAAAAACTTACCTTCTCGAAACTTTCAGCCAAGAAAAGGCTCCCGAAAATTCTAGGTGGCCTTTTTTAGGCTCAAAATCCGTTAAAAATGGGTAATTATACCATTTTGTAGGTGTTCGAAAATCCTAGGAGAAGCAGGCAAGCAAGAAATTTTACAACAAATGCTCCGAAAATTCTAGATCTCAAATCGTCTTCCGAACAGATATTTTCCCGAAAATTGCCGTTGGGTGCCCCTGAAATATCATTCGCGAATTTTCTTGATTCGCAAGAATTTGAAACATTATCATCAACAACCCATAGGGCACTTAAACTTAACTTACAAATTAAACTAACGAGCGCAAAAACAAAATCAAAATGATTTAATTATTGAAAGGTTTCAACTATGCTGCTAATAGGTACGTAAATACGAGAAACGAGTGCTTCGTCAGGATTTGAAAACTTTGAAAGGAAGTGTTTGAAATCTGAGGCGTATAATAGGTTTTTATGATACATCTCAAAGCTCAGTTTGACAGATGAAAGTTACCAGACCATTAATTTTATTACGGCAACCCGCAAGTTTAAGTTGGCATGTAAGTTATCGTTACATACCTGTGAACATGTCAGAAAAAGCTAATGCAAGAATCATCAAGTTGTACGAATTTTTTAACATCGTACGACTTCGAAGGATTACCACACAAACCAGGGCATTTCCAAATAACGCCATGGAGGCAATCAGCGCAAAAGTAACTCTTAAAGCGGTCCACGAGAGGTCGATACTGCTGCTAGTTACGGAGGGGTCCGTAGCGCTGTTATTCGCCGAAGAGTTCGTCAAAAACTTCTTGGCTTAATGTTATTCAGAAAATATTATCTGACAAGAGGATAATAAAGGTTGAAAGAAATATTAGCAAAGTAGACAGAAAATATCGTAAATATTATGTAAAACATAAAGACGTTTAACGTCCAATGTGTCACATTTTTCCGGGGCATACACCCAAGGACCGTTTCCTGTAAAAGATTTCTGTTCGGAGAAGCAAATATTGCCAGAATTTTATATTGCTTCAATACAGCTAAAAATTTCTAGATGAGTGTTCCATTCAGGTACAATTTTCGAAGCTTATCTAAAAAATTCCCTACGATTTTCTGAATTAATTGTTCATATTTTACTCCTTATGTTAGGATAATTTTCGTAGAAAAAGGAAAGTAACCTAAAATTTTCCGATTCAAAATGTGATGGGGGGAGGAACGAGAAAAATTCTCATTTCCGTTAAACGTTGAATTGCATTAAAAATTTTCCGAAAAATAACACTGAAGCCCTTGTAATTTCGAAAAGCCTCAAGTTCCCTTGGATGACCGAACAGATACAAATTTTATAGCGCCGCTTAGAAAGCATTTCTAGAGATCTAAAAGTACTCGGAATAGCCTAAAAAGACTTTCAATGCATTCAGATGGAAACCGTCGTTGGGTGCCCCTGACGTTTGGAGATATAGAATCGTAGTTGTCTGGATCAGTTGTAGATACAAAATTGTACTAAGTCTTTTTAATAATCCTCAAATAAACGCCACAGCAGATGTTTATGTCAGACGAATCTAGAGGGTTAAACAAGATTGTTTAAAACAATTTTTTACAATTATTTGTTTGTAGGGAATTCTTGTTTAAAAACAAACAAACCCTAACTCAAAAAACATCCGAGATTTTTTGCAAAAATGTTTCAATATTAGACCTTTTTCTGTAGCCATAATTATCAACACAAAGAGTGCAAACTGGTTTCATGCTGCTATTTCCTCCCTTGTTGAAATTTTCCCGTGTATTGGAATTGGAAATCATTAAAATTTCAGCCCAGTTATTCTCAAAATCTTATGAAGCAGTTTCATTCAAAAATTAACTGAATACTTTTAACAGTTTATTTTCATCATGTGAATGTTGCTTTCAGTTTTTTTGGTTTATAGCCCTAACGTAATTGCAAGTGTTTAATCCATTTTCTAAATCAGGGGTTCTCACGAGATTCTATACTAATTTGTCACCTGGCGTTTGTGCATTAAGTTTGCAAGTGTTGAATCCATTTAAGCTCGTGTTCTCGGGATCCATTATTTATCTGTTCTTAAATATCAACTGCTTACCCGACTTTTATACGTCTTCTTCACTTTTTAATTGCAAATTGGGTTACAGCTAGGCATTTCGCAGCCTATCTTTCCTTTCTGTAAGAACTCATGTGGTCTGTTGACTGGTCAATACAATAATTTCTTGCTGTTCTAATATTTTAGCATTTGGAGCGGGAACTTATCTGGGAGACAGCCAATTAAAAGAATTAATATCATGGAACCAATCAACGCAAGGGATTTTAACGAAGCCATTGGAAACAACTTGAAAAAGGGAATAGCTCTGACAGTTTCCATTCCATCAAGTATAATAGGTCAACAGCGATTTGTTACCTGGCGTAGTGTGCATTAATTTTGCAAGTGTTAAATCCATTGAAGCTCGTGTTCTCGGGATCCATTATTCATCTGTTCTTAAATATCAACTACTTACCGAGACTTTTATCCGTCTTCTTCACTTTTTAATTGGAAATTGGGTTACAGTTCAGGGCATTTCGCAACCTATCTTTCCTTTCTAAAAGAATTTTATGTGGTCTTTTGAACTGGTCAATACAATACGTTCTTGCTGCTTTGATAGTTTAGCATTTGGAGCGGGGATTTATCTGGGAGACTGCCAGTTGATATAATCGAACCAATCAACGCAAGGGATTTTAACGAAGCTATTGGAAACAAATTGAAAAAAGGAATATAGTTCTGATAGTTTCCACTCCACCAAGTACCTTCGCGTAGAATGAAATGCTAGGTGCGGCGATGACGATATTTAAAAGCAGAAGACAAATAACTGTCATATCTTCTCGGAAGACTGATAAAATGATAATAAGTAATGGTAACAGGACTGAGTGGAGTCCAATTCGGTCTGTAATCATACGAGTGATTAACAAAATTGGACGACCGCGTAGCGGGAGTCCGATTTGTTTAATCACGAGTATAATTACAGACCGAATTGGACGACACGAAGTTCTGTTACCAATTAATCATAACTTTAACAAAATTTGTGATACAATAGGCTATTTTTTAAACCAAAACACAAGAAATTCGAAATCCTGTTTTGCTAGCAGTGAAAAAAAAAGCCATTTAAGCGCGCGCGTGATGGCGCGTACTGTCCAATTACTTAGGCATGACGCGTACTGTCCTATTAAACTGTCCAATTAAGGCTGAAATCAGGGCAGTTGAGAGCCAATCAGATTTGACAATTTTGTTATAGTTATGATTAGAATCATAATTATGATAATGCAGCTGATTACAAGTCTTACCGTACAAGGCTCTTTTACATTCTGGTGACGTTTTGAGCTTGCATTAGTGTTGAGTATCAACATTTAGAAAAGCTTAAAAATGTCAGCCTAAAATTTATTCCTGATTTCATGTCTACCTAATTCGGGCAAAAGTGGGCAAAAAAATTGTTGAAGTACAAATAAAGCTGTCAATTACTTTCCATAGTGATTCTCAGCAAATATTGACAAATTAGCGTATGGCGGTATAAATTACACAGTCGGAAAAGTGAGATGCAAAAAATATGATGCGAAATTCGCTTTCTTTGGATGAATTTTCCAGCGAAAATGAAACGAGGAATTTTTGTTTTCATTGTAAATAACAAGGCGTAAGTTTAAACAAAATATTTGCAGACACGCAGAAACGTGTCGAAATAGGCCCTTTGCAGTCAGCCATTCACGTGGTACAAAACCTCCACGCTGGAGAACAAAAGTCGCACTGGGACAAAACAAACAAAAGACATACATAATTTTAAATGGTAATTTTCTTTGTTCGTCTTGTCCCAGTGCGACTTTTGCTCTCCAGCAGGGCGGTTTTGTACCACCTGAATGGCTAGCTGAAAAGGGCCTATTTAATTCAACATTATCTTTTCCTCTGTTTTCGATTGTTGTAAGTAGTATAGCGTTCACCAAAAGACCAATTTTGCAGCAGGAATCTCATTAACCTTGACAGGAATACATTAAATATAACATTCATATAACCTTTTTTAAGAGGTTTAACTGGTTTGACAGGTTTTCTCCTCATTTCTTCTAGGTCTACCTCTTTCCAGCACGAAACACAACTGCTACTTTCTCCTCCCTCTTCCTGCTCCACTACAAATCAATTATTTCACTCCTCCTCGTTTGTTTTAAATTTTCCTACCACCACCATATTCTATAGGTTCCCTCCTCTTCTATCTTTCATAGTTTAAGTTGTTTTCCTTTCCTTTTCTCCCAACACAATAATATACAGGGGTGCATGTGTTCGATTGAAAAATTAAAACTAAGGTTTTGAAATCCATATTTCGGATTTGCAATCGTGCACGAAATCCGAAAATTCCTTTACTGTAGGTGGATTTCATTAAGAAATCCCAACCTTGATTTTGTGGATTTCCTTTTTTACTGTTCGATTTGGAGTCCAAAAAAAGGATGCGCAAAACTGTTCTCGTGAACAATGCTCCTTTTTCCTGCTTATTATGTGTGCGCGTGCGTCACCGATATCTTCACAGGTGAGGGTGGATGAAACTTGGAGGTATATGAGGGTGGATGAAGGTAAAAGAATGCTAATGGATGTAGATGAAAGTAAATGAAGGCTAATAGAAAAATATGAAGGCAGATTAAAGGCTAATAGGTAGATGAGGGTGGATTAAGGTAAATGAAGGTAATGAAGGTGCAATTCTCCTCACAACATTTTCACTAGTGAATCAAGCATCTGTTCATCTATGTTGTATGACTTATTGTTAAAATATAAGATAACGATACTTCTTCTTTTCTTCAATCCTTGTTGACTGGTACCACACTAGGATTTATCCTTCCACCATTCCTTGACTTGGCGTTTTCTAGAGTTATTCCAAGAATATCCGTTTCCGATTGCTCTATCTGATTCCTTTTCCAAAAGAAAATAATTTTCCTAAACTCCTTTCCATACTTCTTGTTGGTTGCACCATAAATCCACGGATTCAAACACGAGTTGAACATGCTCAGAACGACTGTCACGTGATGAAGGGGTGTGTCTAACTGCATGACGTCAAACTTTGACATAACGAAGTAAAACTGATTAGGTGTCCAGCAAATCCCAAGGAATAACGCGGTCAGCGCACACATGCGCAATGGATAGATAAGGGATCTGGAACGATTTTGTCGATCGTTGTGAAAAGGTGATTTCCTCAGCAATAGCCAAAGTTGCAGGAAGGTTACCCAAGAAATCGATAGAGGAATAACGAATGTGACAGTCACGTGTATGATTACGTAAACTTGGGCAGCCAGTTTGCCTTTTGTTAAGGACATCCACTTACAGGTTGTGACCTAGAGGTCAGGGATAAAAAGTCACGTGTGAAGTTTTGTCTTATAGTAAAAACTATTTCAAAAAAAACAATTTTAGAGCTTATTTGTAAATGTGGAGGTGGCTAGAGGTGAACATTTACCAACCCGTCCATAAAATCGGATTAAATTGACAAAGCGGTTACCTGTAAAAAGTGCCAAACCAAGTTTCGTGGTCTTCTTGGTCTTGTAGGGAACGGCTCTTCGTTTAGTTATGAAATTTCTTCGTTTGCTACAGTAGCAAACCGGAAAACCATTTGGCTTGTAACTTACGCGACGTTGGCGTCGCTCGGAGGGTGAATACGACTGATAACCCGCGTTTGACTAGCTAATCCGGAGCCCTTGAAAAACACTATTCATTATTGTTTTAGCAAATACTAACTACATGTATCGGGAAAACTATGTGTCATGCGGATAACAGTTATCGCTAGCAAGTGCCTTCTGGGAATAAATTCATGATTTGCAAATTGTCTTACTGCATTGTATGCAACGACGATCGTTTGTCGTTCCGTTCACCCTCCTTATTGAAAACCCTGATTATGTTTATGCAAATCCAACTCCTTGTTGAATCCGCTTATTTACATGTCATGATTAACGTAACGATGCCTAGAGCAAATATTACTCAGTTGTTCTTTGGTATAGCAAAGGACACACAAACGCATTGTAAGTAATATAGATATCAGCATACTTACGTTATCTTTCGAAGCGGGACGTTTTTCAAAAACCGCTCTAGAATTCATGATGCAGCACGTTAACACCACCAACATAACATTGCGAATGACAGTTCTTCTCTTGAAAACTGTTTGGTACTTCAATGGTCGATAAATCGCAAACCAGCGATCCACAGCCAAGCACATTACTAAAGCCACGGATATCTTGCCCAATGTGAAAACGAAATAGTGAGAGCTGACGAAACGGCAGAAGAACTCTCCTTGGAGACCACTTGTAATCGGAAAATTGTTCTCACCGATAATAAACGAAGGAGTGATCGCCAGGCATATACCTAAAAGGATAAGAGTTCAACGACTGTTTCAGACTGTTTACGCTTTCTGCCTTTTCTTTTTTTGTGTGTCGCGGAGTTAAACTGGGAGATTTTCGTAGTATACGTTAAAACTTCAAAGTTTTCTCTAAGAACTCTTTTAATGTTTTAGCAATCGCATTTTAGACAACTAAATCTAAATTAATAAATTAAAACAAAATAAGGCATCATTGTATTAAGAAAAAAAGGAAAACTAAATGGGAAACAACAGTAGAACGAAGATAGTTTGCGTTTCTCCACGGTTCTAGATTTGTGGACAATAACATCTTTCCTTGGCAGAACAGGGTAAGGAATTTTAAGATAATCTGAGTTTACTCTTGTCACAGTATTTACAGAGCTCTAATATTCTATTTTGCTGTATATTGTTGTTCGATAGCTATCGATGGCGATATATTGCAACTACGACCAGTTTCCATTCACCCTCAGATTCAATGTGTGTATTATGAAAACCACATTTTAGGACTCAAGCATCCGCATCGGTGATGGCTGAAAAGGAATTATCGCAAACCAAACGGATTATTATGTACCTGTTAGTGTATCCACGATTGCAAGAGCCAGAATCATCAAGTTGTAGGAATTTCTCAAGTTATTACGTTTCTTCAAAATAACCAGGCAAACTAAACAGTTTCCAAACACAGCAAAGCAAGCAATGATACCAAATATAATTCTCAGTGTAAGATAGGCGCGGTGAGCAGAGTTACTTCTTTGTGCTGGAGAGGCAGCGTAAGAAGAGTTGGACGACTGTGGGGGGTTGAACATTATCGTTAAATGTGTGCTAAACCTTGCAAAGTGAAGTGAACAACAACAAAGATCTCATGAGGCTCTGCAGAAAATCTTTTTAGAACAATGCGATTAGCAAAGCAATGGATCTCTAGTCGTGATATGATCGACTTTCGCTTAATGAGACCTGGTTTTCTTTTTAAGGGCTCAAATGAAAATAACTGTTGTTAAGTCTAATCATTTGTATTCAAATTCAAAATTCAATAAGCCTTCTTGTATCCTGTGACCGGAAAATAACAAATTGACGTGCTGAGACAAATTGTATGAACAATATAATATAAAAATGTTGGTTTGTGAAAAGGCCAAATTAACAATATGTCTGCGGTACAGAATTATATCATTCCCTTTTGATACGAAACATTATCAGCTGCTTCAATATTTGTATTACCCAGGAAAAGACTTTAAATTAACGGCTGCATTGTTTCGATCAAAATCTCATATTATTCAAAGTAACAGATCCAGCCTTTGAGGAAATTGCAATACATTTTTTAAATATATCGTTAATTTCCTGAGTCATCGAAGGCCAGAGGGTTTTAAGGTTCCTTTTTTCTTTATTTATTATAATTCCTGAAGGAAAGAAGTTAAAAAGATTCAGATCGATGATCTTAGAGACATACTAAGCCACTGGTGTTTACGTCCTTTTGACGAAGTTCTTTTCTGGGACCCTGAGGCTCTCGAATTAATGATATAATTCTCACAGCATGTGGTATTGATGCAAATTGTCATTTGTAGGCGTTGTTAGAAAAGACATTGTCTAGATAGTTTGTAATAAAAGTAACGTTGTGAGCGGTAGATGATTTTTGAAAAATAAAAACCGACCCTTGAAACAATTTCATGTAAGTATTTCAAAGTACATTTTAATTTCCCCAACAAGTTCAAGTTTAAAAGTGAATATAACATCCAATTTCACCTATGCTATACCTAATTAAAATAACAGCGGGAAAGAAAGTTTAATGAAAGGGAAGTATAATATTCTCAAAGGTGATATTTTAAGAACTGAGTTACAATTTCCTGTTTACCTTCAACTGTTTCATTATTTGGAAAAACGCATGGTTCGTATTAATTACATAAATTTATTTCGTAATTTTTGAGACCCCAGGTAGATACTGATACTAACATTTTTCCTTTGGACCACGATGAAAAGGACTGGTTCGCAGTCAACATGTTATCTATTTAATTCCTTACCTTTTCCAATCTTGTCTTACCTTATCTAATTTTTATCTTAGCAATTGTTCTTTAATCTAAACAATTACTTAATTGAGAAACAGAGATAATTCATGAATGTCCTTAAATCACTTGATTGATAGGAATGTGTGTTCAAGGGTGGTTAAGACACAGCGGACTGCTGGATACCACATTTAAGACATTTTGGTCACTGATCCTTAATGTGACTACAAGATATGAAGTGAGAACTGACATAAGGTCCACACAATAAGTCTTTAGCCCCCTTTGTTCATTTTGCTCATCTTAGCCATGCTGTTCCTTTTGGTCCCTTTGGGTTACAATAAGGATTACGAGTAACCCCTTGTAACCCTCTCGACACCTTGTAACCCCCTGTAACCCCCTGTAACCATTTGTAACCACCTGTAACCCCCTGTAACCTCTTGTAGTACCCTTTGTAACCACATGTAAAATTTTGTCACCCCTTGTACCCCCTCTAACCTCTTGTAACCAATTGTAACCACCTGTAAACAATGCAACCTCTTGTAACAACTTGTAACCGCCTGTAACCCTTTGCAACCCTCTGTAACCCCTTGTAACCCGCTGTAACTCCCTCTAACCTTTTGTAACCCCTAGTAACCCCTTTTAACCCCTTGTAACCCTCTGTAACCCCTTGTACCCCATGTAACCCCATGTAACACTTTGTAACCCAATCTTACCCTCTGTAACCTCTTGTAAACCATTGTAACCACGTGTAACTCCTTTCAACCTCTTGTAACCCGTTGTAACCCCATGTAAAACCTTGTAACCCTCTGAAAACCAATTGTAATCCTCTGTAACCCCTTGTAACCCGCTGTAAGGGCCTCTAACCTCTTGTAACCCCTTGTAACCCTCTGTAACCCCATGTGACCCCCTGTAACCAATTGTAATCCTTTGTAACCCCCTGTAATCTTTTGCCACCCCTTGTAACCCCTCGTAACCCCCGCTAACCTCTTGTAACCCCTTGTAACCCCCATTAACCCCTTGTAACCACTTTTAACCCTTTGTAACCCCTTGTAACCCCTTGTAACAACCTGTAACCCCCTGCAACCTCTTGTAACCCCTTAAAACCCCTGTAACCCCTTGTAGCCCTTTGTAACCCTCTGCAACCCCTAGTAACCCCTTCTAGCCCCCTGTAACCCCTTGTAACCCGTTGTAACCACATGTAAAATTTTGTCACCCCTGGTACCTCCTGGTCACCCCCTCTAACCTCTTGTAACCCCTTGTAACACCCTGCAACCCCTTGTAACCCCTTGTAACCCACTGCAACCCCCTGTACCCATTGTAACCCCTTGAAACCATCTGTAACCCCCTGTAAAAGCTAGTAATCCTTTGTAACCCATTGTAACCTTTTGTAACCCCTTGTAACCCCTCGTAACCCCCTAAAACCTCTTCTAACCCCTTGCAAAACCCCTCTAACCCGTTGTTACCTCTTGATACCCGCTGTAACCCCTTTTGACCCCTTGTAACCCTCTGTAAACCCCTGTAACCTCTTCTAACCTCCTGTAACACTATCTAACACCCTTTAACCATCTGTAACCCCTAGTAACCCTTTGAAACCCCATGTAATCCTTTGTAACCCCTTGTAACCCCCTGTAACCTCTTGTAACCCCTTGTAACCCCTTGTAACCCGCTGTAATCCCTTGTAACCCCTTGTAAGCCCCTATAACCCCCTGTAACCCCTTGTAACCCCTTGTAACCAGCTGTAACCCCTTGTAACACCCAAAGTTGTCTAACTAGAACGTTCCCAGATACTTTTCTTGGTCTATTTTGCATAAAAATCAAAATAAAAGAAATCTCAAATTTGTGACCAAAACGATGGACTAACCCCTTTCGAAAAATTCTAATATTGCGTTTTTCGTAAACCGTTGTTTTTGTAGTCTTTAAACGCTTCTTTTTTGTCTAGAACGTCTGCAAACAGTTTTTCTCGATCTACCTTTGATAAAAACAAAAGCTGAAAAAACTTCACCTTTTAGACCAAAATCATGGACTATCCCCTTTGCAAACATGCCAATTTTGCCTTCTTTTTAAATCCATGTTTATATTGTCTAGAAAGGCTTGTTTTCCAACGAGAACGTCCCTAAATACTTTTTCTGGTTGTATTTTACATAAAACGAAACGTTAAAAAAATTTCCAATTTTTGAGCAAAACCATGGACTAACCCCTTTGGAAAAAATGCCAATTTTGTGGGTTTTTGAAACCGACGTTTTCGTTGTTCAGAAAGGCTTGTTTGCTATATAAAACGTCGAATATCGTTATCTCACCATTTAATTTCGCGATCTATGACATGGGAATACAGGGGATTAAAAGGGGTTGCAAGGGGTAAACTTTTTTCTAACTAGAACGTTCCCAGATACTTTTTCTTGGTCTATTTTGCATAAAAATCAAAGTTGAAGAAATCTCTAATTTTTGACCAAAACGATGGACTAACCCCTTGGCAAAAATACTAATTTTGCGTTTTTCGTAAACAGTTGTTTTTATAGTCTTTAAAGGCTTCTTTTTTTATCTAGAACGTCAGCAAACACTTTTTCTCGATCTATTTTTGATAAATACAAAAGATGAAAAAACTTCAACTTTTTGACCAAAATCATGGGCAAAAATGCCAATTTTGCTTTCTTTTTAAATCCATGTTTATATTGTCTAGAAAGGCTTGTTTTCTAACGAGAACGTCACCAAATGCTTTTTCTGGGTGTATTTTGCATAAAACGAAACGTTCACAAAATTTCCAATTTTTGACCAAAACCATGGACTAACAACTTTGGAAAAAAATGCCAATTTTGTGGGTTTTTTAAAACCCATGTTTTCGTTGTTCAAAAAGGCTTGTTTGCTATATAAAACGTCGAAAATCGTTTTTTCATGATTTATTTTCACGATTTATGACAGGGGTATACAGGGGGTTACAAGGAGTTATAGGGGGGTAAAAGGGGTTACAAGGGGTGACAGGTGGTGGCAGGTGCTTACAGGGGGGTACAAAGGATTATAGAGACATTTTTCTAACTAGAGCGCTCCCAGATACGTTTTCTTGGTCTGATTTGCATAAAAATCAAAGTTGAACAAATCTAAAATTTTTGACCAAAACGGTGGACTAACCCCTTTGGAAAAATGCTAATTTTATGGGTTTTTGAAACCAATGTTTTCGTTGTTCAGAAAGGCTTGTTTGCTATATAAAACGTCGAAAATCGTTTTTTCACCATTTATTTTTGCGATCTATGACATGGGATTACAGGCGGTTACAAGGGGTTACTGGGGGTTACAACGGGTTACAAGGGGTTAGAGGGGATTGCAAGGGGTTACAAGGGGTGACAGGGGGTTACAAACGATGATACAAACTTTTGTCTAAGTAGAACGTTGCCAGATACTTTTTCTTGGTCTATTTTGCATAAAAATCAAAGTTGAAGAAATCTCAGATTTGTGACCAAAACGATGGACTAACCCGTTTGGAAAAATTCGCATTTTGCGTTTTTCACAAACAGTTGTTTTTATAGTCTTTAAACGCTTCTTTTTTTATCTAGAACGTCAGCAAACACTTTTTCTCGATCTATTTCTGATAAACACAAAACATGAAAAAACTTCAACTTTTTAACCAAAATCATGCACTTTCCCCTTTGCAAAAATGTCAATTTTCTCTTCATTTTAAATCCATGTTTATATTGTCTAGAAGGCTTGTTTTCTAACGAGAACGTCACCAAATACTTTTTCTGGGTTTATTTTGCATAACACGAAACGTTAACAAAATTTCCAATGTTTGACCAAAACCATGGACTAACCCCTTTGGAAAA